GAGAGAGAGAGAGAGAGAGAGAGAGAGCGATTGCAAAGTTACAAAATCTGCTTTGTCTTGTTATAATCAAATACTTTGTATTATGTAGTACAGGTTGTCATTAAACGTGTGAACAAACCTATATCATTAAAATCACTTCAATCAAATTGACAAATATCAATCAAAATGTGAAATCTTATGATATATTATCTTTATTTATATTCAGTAGGGGAGAAAGTAGAATTATGGCCAAGAAAATGTAATTTTTAAGTTCTGCTTTACGAGAATGATTGAAGACATAATTTTCGTGCATCTTTGTAATTAAATATTTTGGCAATTGAGACTTTAAATGACTTGAACAGCAAGAAAAATTGTCAGAAAAATTTTTTGATTTGTTACACAACACTCTATAAATTCTTCTATTTAAATCTTATTCTTCTAATATTTTAATGGATCTTCTCGACTGCAATCATTGATGCGCTGCGATTGTTTTTCTGTCGCTTATTTTCAACTGATTTATATTCCTTTTTTTCTCGTGAACCGTGTCCTCTTGTGCTTCAACGGGATCGATCTCCACGATCGATTGCCAAGGAATTGGATTTATGTATGCTGGCTTTGCTTTCTGATGAGCTATAAGATAACGCATTAGTTCATTTTAATATAGCGTTTTCGATCATAGCGAGTTTAATCAATATAGATCCTTTTTATATCATTAAGGTCCGATTGCATCAACATTACTTTAACTTTAAACGATCTTAAAAGTCTGTCTATTCTTCTCTCTCTTTCGGCTTTAAAGAGAAAAAGTGAAAATTTTTTTAAACCTTGCTTAAAGTCAAAATAGCGTTGATGCAATCGGACCTAAATCGATTAGTACCGACAGGGTAACCACTAACTGAAATATTTGAACTGTTTTCTGTTCCTGCACTAGACTGCTCTAGAACTCTTTTTCTTGCTTTCGACAAATATCAAACGTATATCTATCTCACTTTAAGTTCTAAAAGTGTATACTAGTTCAGCCACAGCAAACAGACCTATTGTCTTACAGATTACATGATTTCATTTGTTTCGTACAACATCATCTAATGACAAATAATTTTCTTTACTATATCTGAAATCATTGATCAAATAAATGATTTTATCTGATATTACACAATTATTTCTCGTAGTAATTAGCATATGTAATTATTGGATTATATACCGAAATTTCATATGATAATTTCAATATAAATTTTATAATGATTTCGAGAACTTTGTCCCACGATTACATTAAGTGATTACCCCCTCGTTTAGTACGCGTATTAAATTGGCACCGACTAAATATTTAAATATATATTCTTATATATTTAAGGCGAGATATACACCTAGCATGGTCGAAAAAATCGATTTTTTTGCATTTTCTTGAAGCTTGAGGTCTCAAGAATATCTGGTGAAAATTGCAAGTCAATATCTCGATATATAACGAAGTTACAGCGGAGAGAGTGAACTGTCTCCGAGAGCGCACCGTGCCGCCTGTTTTGCGGCCGAGCCGAGAGGCAGGTAGCGGTAAGCGATCCTTCGAAGAGAGCGTATCTAGACCTGTTTTACGATTCTATTGTGTTTTCGGGCGTGCTCGGGTCCAGGTATAACGGAAATATCACACTACCGTTATTCTTTGCCAGAAATTGGACGCGTTTCGTCAGTAGCTTGCCGTTCGTGCAACTGTGCATTACAGTGAGTTTTCTTCTGTGAATAAATATTCTGAGGAAAGTGGATAACAGATATAAAGGTTCTCGGGAAGCTCATCGATCCGGATCTTTTCGCAAAGATCGAAGCAAGAAGAAAACCGCCCAAAAATCGACATACTGCCGAAAAAGAAACTTTCGAGAGAATATTAGTTCCAGTGCCAAAAAATTGAAGACTGCTCGTGAGACATTCGCACCAGAAGATCCAAACATCGGGTATCGAATTTTGAATTTTCTGATAGTGTTTTCTGCCTTATCGGAATGTGTAAAATACAAAAAGTGTGATAGTGATGTTCGATTCTCAATAGAAAGCACTCGAGGGCTTGGTTTTAAAATTGTAGTTTCGTGTTCATCGTGCAAACCGACTTTCATTCCTTCGTGCCCGTACATCAAGACAGCTTACGAAATAAATACACGATTCTTTTTTGTTATGCGTTTATTGGGGATTAGTTTGCGTGGAGCTATGAAGACGAAACTCGCATAGCGAAAGCCGAGCTGCAAGCGCAAGAACAGACGAAAGAAGGTCGAATACAGCGCCGACAACAAAATTTAGAAGACATGAATGTTCCGTCGACCGTAGAAGACTTACATTATGGGCCTGGTATCGATGATTCCATGTAAGTTGACAAATTTCATGATTTATTCATTCCCAAATTTTCAAACGCGTTTTTCTCGAAACCACGTTTTTCAAATCGCTATCCAAAATTTCTCGAAAACCAATAAACCGATTGCCTTGAATTTTTTTTGTGGTTATTCTATACACCATTATCTAGTACTTGTCATAGGATTTTTTTTTTCGTTGCTTAGTTTTTGTTTTATAGGCAAAATAATAACTAATTTATGGTCGAAAAATCGCTATGTTATGTTCAAACGTCCGCCATTTTGTCATAAATCGATATTTTCAAAATCGGCTATGACAAGTACCAGATTATAGTATCTAATTTAATAATCTTTTTGGTTTTTTTGTTTCAGATGATTTTTGTGAAGAAACGCCAGTGGGCACCGTTTACCCGGATTTTTTTACGGCGCTCCGAAGATTATACAACAACCTCGTCAATTTTTGATTTTTTTTAATAAAAAAAAAATAAAAATAATTGAACATATTCCTGAATGTGTATACTTTTAGATACAAAAACTCCCAATCTGAAATTTCAAATAGTTTTCCTTAAAAAAATTCACAAAAATGACCTTTTTTTCCGGCTCCTAGGTGTATATCTCCCTTTAAACCGATCTGTTTCAGAACAGATTAAGTTAGATGATGTCTTCACTTATACTTTTCAAGATATAAAACCTTTAATTCTAACTTTAACCTGAACTTAATAGTGGCGAGTTCAATATACGATTCAAAACGAACCAAGCATATAAAGCGGATTAAGATTTTTTGTACCACTTAATACGTGTACTAGCTTGGTCTATGGCTGAGTTTCCACTGAACGCGTCACGCGTCGCGTCATGAAAGAGAGAAAGAGATAAGATTATGTAAATACACAACCCCTCTCTTTCTCTCCTTCGACGACGCGACGCGTGACGAGCTCAGTGGAAACATACCATAATACTCGCGATTCGGGAGTACCAGATCTGGGCATCTATCATATAGCGTTTTCTCTTGAGATACACTGGGTGCAGTTTCACACCGCACCAGTTGCGTGTAAGCGCTACACTCAGCTACAGTGCCTGCTACACTACACTAGAGTGGTGCACACCATGGTGTATCATATACTGTATCATTATTATGCTAAAACCCTGTTCCCGCTTGACTTTTATTTCCAAATTTTAAATGGGTAATTATTCAAAATACCTCCCTCATCTCCGATTTCGATAAAATTAGGCTCATTCGACGCGTTTTTGCATGAAACGATAGAATCTGGCAGAAAAAAGTGTCGCTCTGCCTCGCGAACCGAGATATTTAGCGTTAAAGTTGACGACTATGGAGGTTAGGAAATCTGTCATACCGACTATGTGTAATAAATTAAACGTATGTAGTAGTGCTTAGACAGTGTCCGCTTGGAATATTTGTAACCCATGTAGACAGTGGGATGTATAGACAGTAATGCTTGGGTTCGGGGCGGCTACGCCGCCCCGAACAAAATAT